TCATAATTATATTTATGTATAAATTATTTATTGATACACTACAGTTCAAACATTTGTGGTCGTAAGATTTTTTAATATGTTTTTGAAGTAAGTCTCTTTTACCGAAAATCTGTAATATTGGGAAATAGTATTACAATTTTAAAATAACTGTTTTCTATAGTAATATATGTTAAAATGTAATTTATTCCTGTGATGCAAAGCTGAATATACTCACGCTGTGATCAGCAGCAGCTGGATGCAATAATCGCATGCCAATGTGCATTGGCTCGTTTAGTTTACACTCGAAGTAGATTGGTCCCTCTAAGCGAGATCCCAATTCATCAGTCATCCGACGTGACATCGGGAGTGACCGACTGAAAGGGAACATTTCTTATTATTATCATTGTTGAAAACAGTAGTGCTGCTGCTTCACATTGTTGTGGAATCAGAGTTTAAAAAAATTCAGGTTCAAAAGAACAGCATTTATTTGAAATGGAAATCTTTTGTAAAATTATACGGTATTGTCATAAAAATGTAAAATTATTTTAAAGACTTATTGTCCTTGACGTACAGTCATGAGGGTCTGCAGAGGGTAGTCTTCATTTCCTGTTATTTTCTGCATGTTGGTCGCATCACATGACCAAAGCGTTCTTAATTTTAAATATTAAACAACTGAACACTTAAAAGATAATGATAATCAAAGACTGTCCCAAACTACTTAAAATGGTTTTCTTTTGAAGAATTTCTTTCTTTTTCATGGATTTTATTTATTTCTTTTTATTAGTTTTTTTTTATGTTAGGATTTGAGGATTTTTTTTTTATTATGATATCAGGACAGATGCATACCCTGAAATTTTTACTTTATGCCCCAGAAAATATCAAAATGGCTTTTTAATTCAGAAATTAAGAACATTGTGATCATATAAATGTATTTTCAAGTCACTGTATGTATGAACTCCATTTTTAATGTATTGAATTGATATACAGACACACACAAAAACATGAGCGTCTTGTCATTGACCCAGGGGTTAGCAGACTGATTTCTAGCTCCTCCTCAGCCTTATATCAACAATGAGCTATGACGCATTATTGATGTTCTCTTCTGGCTGCCTTTTTCGCAATCAAATGAAAACCAACAGCACTGTTTCATTTCCAACCCAGATCGATTGATTGCCTTCGGCCACTAGACGAATCAGATTACGAAGGACTAATTTGATTTTTGAGAGCAGGTACAGACTACTCGAGGACAGCTCAGCTGATTGGCTGAGACAGATGCCTGTCAAAATAAAACACAAAATGACTAGAATCCCACAGACAGTCAAATATTCTTTAAATCAAGGCGGTTGAAGAGGAAATGAGATTGATGTGTGTGTGCGTTTTCTCATCCCGACAGGACCCTATTATTAGAGAAGAGTTTAGGAACTAACATTTTGTTTCATGCCCTCAGTATTCAGGACATAATGTTTCCATTCTGTTATTTTCTTAATAGTCTTGGAGCTAAATTCAACTAGGAGCTTGATGGAGGTCCATGTCTAAAGAGCACCCAATGGAGAAAAGAAGATAGATGAAGCTCATTACAGTTTATTGCCATTACACAAGATTACTTTGCTTTTGTCACTTCACACGTGAATTACACGCCATTACAGCTAGTCTTATTTAAGCGTTATACCTTACAGATGTTAGAGGAGTTTTCTTATGCATCATTTTTCAAACCTTCAGTCTGAATTAATTCACAGAAGAAACAAAAGTAAAATTTGCTCATTTTCTTTTGCAAGTATTTGCACTCAGATTTTTCGGTAACACTTTACAATAAGGCTCCATTAGTTAATGTCAGTTAATGGATTAATTAACATGAACAAACAAGGAACAATACATTTATTACAGTATTTATTCATCTTAATGTTAGTTAATGAAAATACAGTCGTTCATTGTTAGTTCATGTTAATTCACAGTGCATTAACTAATGTTAACAAGCACACATTTTCATTTTAATAATGTTAATAAATGTTGAAATTAACATTAACAAGATTAATACATTTTATAAATAATAAAGATAATAAAGATTAATAAATGCTGTAGAAGTATTGTTCATGCTTAGTTCATGTTAATTAAGTAGTTAACTAATACCTTATTAGTAATTGTTACCGATTTTTCAAGTAAATTTCACACATGGAATTAAGTAAAATCCATAAAAGTACATACTTTTTGAGTTTACTCAATTCTTTAAGACAATTAGCCCAGTTACACTGTAAAACATGATTTTTGAAGTAAATAAAACTACTATTATTCAAGTACATTTTACATACTATTAAAATATTATGTAAAAAAAACGATTTCAGTGTTTTATTATAGTATCTTATTACGGTTTTAAAACCGTTAATAGGTTTTTAAAATATTATTTCAGTTTTTCTGTTATAATAGAATGTTTAACAGGTTTTTTGGCTTTACTCAAAAATAATAAATAAATCATTTTAAAAAATAATATTTAATTTCTACATTTACTCTTCCAATTCATTCCTATACGCAAAGCATGCTTAAAACTAAAAAGCAGCCCATGCAGTTTCAGTTAATGCGACAATAACAGTTGCATTCCATTCTAGTCAGTAAGCCAATAATAGTAAGGCTAAATGTTAATTTCTCAAAGGACAGTGACATTTGACTAAGGCATATGGGTCAGTTGACCTTGCCCGGCACCACAGAAAGGGCATTACATATTAATACTCATCTAACCTCACCAGTTTCCAGCCATTCATTGAGCAATCTCTCCCAAAAGCTGCCTTTCATTCTATTACATGTCTAAACAAACTGAGTGGTTGACCTGAGGTCAAGTAGAGCTATTTTCCCATACACTGATTAACCACAACATTACAACCACTAACAGGTGAAGTGAATAGCATTGATTGCATTGTTACAATAACAGCTTTCAAGGAGTGGGATATATTAGGCAAGTCAACAGCCAGTTCTTGAATTTCATGTGTTTGAAGCAGGTTAAATGAGCAAGCGAAAAGATCTGAGTGACTTTGGCAAGAGCCAAATAGTGGCTAGAATACTAGAGCATCTCCAAAGAGTCAGCTTTATGATGCCAAGGAGCCCCAAATATAAATACAAAGCCAGTTTCATATTAACTTAGGGAACCTTATTGTAAAGTGTTACCAATCATTTTATAAGAGGCTACAGTTGGAGTACATTTGCAGCTCATCAGGGCCCCCTGCTGGTCTGGGGCTCTGTAGGCAAATGCCTCATGTGGATCCTGGCGGGTGTTTTAAAAGCAATTGTCATTTCATTCCTGAATGGTGCTCATGCTTGCTCTAAAGGTGAGGACGTTTGCCTCTTTGTGCTCTGATCTGTCTCTCCTGGTTGGTGGTAGAGTAATATTAAGGATCTAGGCTGCTAAAACAGATATTACAGATTGAATCTGAAGTAGCAGGAGTGTCATTGTGATCACAATGCTGCTCTTGCATCACTCTTTCTTTGAACAAGATGTTTTACCCTGAATTTCTCCTGAAGCATTTTCCCACCCTACAGTAGAATGTGCAAACTGATTTGTGTGTGTATTTGTTATTATAGTGAGTCTGATTTCTCTGCAGAAATCACACAGAATATAGCGAAAATGTTCTAATGTAAAATTAAGTAAATGTGATGGCATTAAGTCAAGACTCTGGTAAAAATGTTCACTTTACAGATTTCACCATACTTCCCCAGCTGATTAGTAAGACAGTTGTTTTCTGAAATGTTACGTTTAAATATGCAAAGTATCAAAATAGGCATAATATCGCATTAAATCTGCAGTAATTTGCATACATTTTCTTAAAACATAAATCTGAATATTGGATGAAGCCAGGTTCAAAATATTTGTTTATTTTTATATGACATATTTTTGGATAGTTTTTTTTATCATTCATAAATCAGAAAATACTGTCAACAGACAGAAAAAAAAAATGTCACCATGTTTTTAGTAATAAAATGTTATATAAACCAGGCGATTGATATATGAACAAACTAGGGGTGCTCCAATTGATCGGCTACCGATCACTATCGGCCGATAATCGCACATTACTCCGTTTGCAGTGCGTATGTGGTGTTTATTTTTTCCACGCTCGTGTTAACGGCTTAATAAAGCGTTCACTGCACACGGTTGCAGTCCGGCAGTGCGTCCAGGAGCGGTGCGTCTGCAGCAGTGCAGAGATCGTTTCCGCACCGAGTCTATTTTTGCTGCGCTGCAAGAGCTGAATTAAAGTAACAGCGCTTTGTTTGCAGTAAATATGAACGTGGATTGACCGAAAAATGTAGTAATTACACCATAAATGCATATTATTAAAGTCTACTAAAAATGATATTCAGGCCCTGAATAAATGTCTAAAAATCCTGATTGGAGTATCACAATAAATAGTTATAAATGATAAAAAGAAGGCTTTAAAAAGATCGGTATCGGTGATCGGTATCGGCAGATACTGCTTTCTGTGATCGGTGAACGGCCTCAAAAATCCTGATCGGTGCACCCCTAGAACAAACGTCTCTGTAAAAATGTTCAGAATATAGATATGAATGAAACTGTAAAGTGTGCTGTATAAAAGTGCTATTGAAGTGTTTTCTTTTTACTGTGCCAAATGATGACTAGATCCATTTAAAATATACTTTACTTCTTTATCATCCACATCTTTGTTTATTGACCTTCTATATCGACTGTTGTCGTTTTTTATCAGTCATCTTGGTCCAAGGTTATCTCTCCATCATTTCCCCTTCTGACCTTCATTATTTAGTCTCTCTCTTCCTCCCGTTTGTTCTGCCCATCCACATTTATCCCTGTGCGGTGATGATTTTGGCATTGAAATCATAGGTGCAGGGAAACATTTATCATGCTGAAATGTCGATAAAATTCTTCCGGCACATTTGATTGAAGCTAATGGAGTTCAGTCGCACACACAGTGGTCGTATGGAGGGTTACCTTTGATCATGAACAATTTTTATATAGATGTTTCTTGTTAACCTAATGCCTTTCTCTCTTTGCTTTTGTTTTTTAGGGTGTTGATGGAGAGCCTTTCGAATGACAGCCGGGACAGTGGTAATCACAGGTGGAATTCTAGCTACAGTAATCTTACTGTGCATTATCGCTGTACTGTGTTACTGTAGGCTGCAGGTGAGCTGTTGGGTTTCTGTGTGCTTTTATCTGTCTGTCGTATTTGTCTTACAAGTATAATGCTGTGTTTTAGTACCTCCTCTTCTCTTAGGAAGCAGTGACATCCTCTTCTATTTCTGTAGTTGCTGTTAGATCTCGTGTTTTCTGTACAGGAATTGACTGCTTGTCACAAACACTAACACGTCGCGTCAGAATTGAAAAGTCAGGGCGCATCATGTTTTTCCGATGGTTTGTTAGATTTTACATGCTTGATTTGACACTGAAACAGCTGGTTGGCACTAAAATTGACAGCCATGTCGGATGACCAATTTGCATATTCAAACATAATCTCATAGTGGAAAATAATGACCAAATTTATGTGTAAATGAAATTCAAATGCAAGCATTTTCACTCTTTGTAGTGTAATTCAAGTACGAAACTCACTATTGGAAAAAGTATGATTTAAAAAATAATTAATTAATACTTTTATTCAGCAAGGACACATATTAAATGACAGTAAAGTTTAAAAGGTCAATTTCTAATAAATGCTGTTCTTTCGATCTTTGTTTTCTATTCATCAAAAAATTAATACACAACTGTTTTCAGCAATGATAATAATAATAAATGCTTTTTTTGAGCAGGAAATCAGCATATTAGATTGATTTCTGAAGGATCATGTGACACTGAGGACTGGAGTAATGATGCTGAAAATTCAGGAATAAATTACATTTTAATATATATTACAATAGAAAACTTATTTTAAATCATAATAATATTTCACAGTATTAGCCCTACTATTTATACTGTATTTTTTATCAAATAAATGCAACCTTGGTGAGCATAAGAGACTTCTTTGAAAAACATACAAAAATCTTAGTTATCCCAACTTTTGAATGTGTATTTGCTGTCACAGCGGTTCTGATTTCTTTTTAGAAAACATACAGAATAGAATCAAACTGTTATAATGTAAAATGTGTGTGTACGTAAATGTGTTGGCATTCAATTTCATTTAGTATTCATAATTCTGTGTACATCAAAATGATTTGTAAACACTTGTAAGTTTGTGAAATCTGTGAAATGCTGTCAGTACTTTGTTATTGGACTTTTTAATGCATTTAAAAATGTACAAAAATGCATCTGTGCTATATTTGCTATATTTATATTTAAAATACTAGGCTGACACACTCTCTCTTTACACCCCTCTAGTACTATTGCTGTAAGAAGGAGGAGTCGGAGTCAGAGGAGGAGGAGCCTGACTTCGCCGTCACGTCTCGTATGCCGCCGGTGCATTCAAACCACAACATCCTGGCGGCCTCTGTCCCAACGGCAACCACCCCCAATGGGCCTGCCTTCTTCACGCCCCCGCAGACACGAAAACTGACACGCTCGCAGACGTACTGTCCATCATGTACGCATTACGACCTGCCGTTTTACCTGCAGCAGCCAGACGGCCTGCGAAATGGCGGCGAACGCATTAGCTACCGCAGTGTGCATCAACAGGATTTGGGGCTGCCCACTCCATTGCCCGCCCCGCTGCCGACGCCGCTACCCAACTACCACAAACTAAACCTCAGCCGCTCAGTCACCATGAGGGAGATGTTCACACGAAGCTGCAGCATTAGCACCGATGTGTAGCCAGACAGATTTATATGATGCTAAATGCTAACGGCTAACAGCGTCAATGCGGGCAACAGACCTAATTCTCATTAAAAAACACAATTCAGCATTTCATAAAGCTGTAGCGCTTGCCTGCGTAAAAACAGTGTCAACAATGTCCTCTGGAAACCCCCGGAGTGCCGAGCTTTTAGGAAGACGGCCCAGTGTGTTCGTTCTTAAATGGGAACTATAAAGGCCAAAATGGGGTGAGAGCAAATATTCGGAGGCCCTCTCCCTCCCTCAGCGCATCTGCTTCACTCCTGAATCCCTTGTTTTGTGTTTTCAGTAATTGGAAAGAGGATTCAGAAAATAAAGCTGCAGTTTTTATGCTTTCCTTACATTTTTCTCAAAAGACACACCAATGCACGGAAACATTGACATTTTGAATTTTTAAATATACGTTCTGAATGGAAACTTTTCTATTGTTCATGTAGCTCGAGACATTTTAGCTGAATAATAACTGATATAGCCACCGACTTTGTTTTAACAAACCAACACATATAGTACAACTTATGAAAAGCCCTAAGTGGGCTGCAATAAAACTGCTGGGTCAAAATGTGACAACGTTTGATTATGAGGTAACATATGGGATGAGAAGCATTCTTTTTTACTGAAAAGTTACTGTGTGCGATTCTATATATTAATAGATGTTTTGACAGTGTGTGAACTATTTGTTCTGTTTTGGATGTTTAAATAATTTGTTCTTCTTTATTCACATTTCTCCTATCTAAAAAGGTACAGGTTTTCGTTTCACCTGCATTAAAATGCTTTCCATTGATTTTATTTTTAAAACCCAGATGTGAGATGGATATAAGCGCCTTGGTTTCTTGATTTCAAGGGCTACATTTGCTCTTTCTAAACGCTGCTTGTTGGACTATGAACAGAACATCTTCTGCCTGAAGGGATTTTCTGTCTCGCTCTTTCTCTCTCTGCTGTTCATGCTTACAGAGGCGACAGTTAGCCTATTCCTGTGTGTTGTTGATGTCAAAACAAGTGAGGCGATGCACCAACTTTCTTCTTTTTAATAATGACAGTGATTATCAAGAACATTTGTTCTGTTTCTAGCCTGTTTGACAGTGATAATCTTCTGGCTGGGCGTGTAGCCACACACTACAGTCCTGCAGGTGACTTTGACTTCTGTGATCACCTTGTGGTTGTGTTGTGATTTCAGATTTCTCTCCTAGCTCTTCTTTCACTCACCAAGACCCGTTTAAAACTCACGCCGTCTCTCTCATCTGCACAGATACACGTTTCAGTGCCTGTTAATACCAACTGTATTATTATTATTTCAGATTTTTCTTTTGCAGCACTGCTTTATAACAGTATTTTTGTTTCAGCCATAGATAAATAATATTGTTTCATGTTCTAAAGTGATGCTGAAATGGTCCTGTAATTGGTAATACAATTAAGAATACAATGTGGATAATAAATTGGTTGAAAACTTTTTGGCATGTGTTGAAGTTGAATACAGTTAAATTCATATAACCTACATTATTTGATATTTTCTAATCGACATTTTAGTTCATTTTCTGATTCCAAGATGTGTCTAGTCTACTTGTAACAGTATTTTACATATTCTGTATCTAATGATACATTCAGAATATTGAGCATTATATGAATAGAATCAGATTAATTATGTGAATTTGAATGTCAAATTTTCCATTATATTTTTGGCTGGGAGGCTGACCTTTCCTCAACTCTTGCCTAAAAAGTTTTTCCTTGACAATTTGTATCATGTGATAAGTCATTTTAGATTTTTCTTTTACGAAACATTTGCCATCAACATCACACACTGAGAACTTCAGGTAAGCCACAGGTAAGAACATAAATTAACACAATAAACTTTATACTACATTGAATTGATCTTTAGCGAATCTGACATTAGTTTTATTGCCAACACTTCACAATAAGGTTCAGTTTGTTAACATTAGTTAATGCATTAGGTAAAAAATTTATTAATATATGTAAAAATTAATATTAAACATAGTAGATGAAAGGAATAGTTCACCCAAAAATGAAAATTTGCTTAAAATTTACTCACCCTCAGGCCATTCAAAATGTAGATGAGTTTGTTTCTTCATCAGAACAGATTTGGAGAAATTTATAATTAAATCACTAGTTCACCAATGGATGCTCTGCAGTGAATGGGTGCCGTCAGAATGAGAGTCCAAACAGCTGATAAAAACATCACAATAATCCACAAGTAATCCACACACCACTCCAGTCCATCAAGTAACGTCTAGTGAAGCCAAAAGCTGCATATTTTTTTAAGAAACCATAATAATCCATAATAATGCTTCCTCTAGTGATAAAGTCAGCTGTTTGGACTCTCATTCTGACGGCACCCATGCACTGCAGAGGATCCACTGGTGAGCAAGTGATGGAATAATACATTTCTCCAAATCTGTTCCATGAAGAAACAAACTAATCCACATCCTGGAGTATATTTTCAGCAAATTTTGGTTTTACATTGATCTATTTCTTAAATAAATGCTGTAAAAGTATTGGTCATTGTTAGTTCCTTAATGCGAATGACCTGAACCCTATTGTGTGTGTGTGTGTGTGTGTGTGTGTGTGTGTGTTTTACTAGGCATTTCAAATATGTGAAAAATACCTGAAATGTAAGATATTAGAGGGGGAAAAAAAAGATAAACTCTTTGAACATATGACAATTAAAAACAATCAACTACTGTGTCAGATGCTTATTGAAGCTCTTAGCTGTTTGTTAACATATAATATAGACAAAACAAGCTAAATAAACATTTATTTCTTACCGTTTTCAGTTTCTCTTTATTTTATTGCTTAATATCCATGCAACAGTTATTTAGATGATGCATGTTTGCTTTCATTTTGCAGCGGAGCAGTCCAGTGTAGAAGCTGTGGTTGTGTTTGTTTTGGATGTGCACTCTGTCAGATTGGATTGAGAGTATCTGATAACAACAATCCACTGTCTTGTGGGTTCACTGTGCTTCAGAGCTGGCTGGAGCGCTCAAAGACTTTCAGATGCCAAAGTCACCGCAGCAGCATCTGTCTTGTGAGACGTAGTTTAGACAGATGTGTGTGTTTCTAAATCATGTTTGATCAAGTAAATCTGGCTCAAAAGACAATTCAATTCAGGTACAGAGGAGCTAAACTTTGCTGTGTCATATGAAGAGTGTGAATATTAACACTAAAATGTATATAATGTAATTTGAATATTTATATGATTATATTATATTCAGTGCTGGGTAGTAACTGATGTAATATGGATTACATAATCAGATTCCAAAAATTAAGTACTCCTAATCAGACTACAGTTACATTTTTATTGATTTCATGATTACATATTATTTACACAATAGCAATAGAGTATTCATAATTTATTGATTCTCCCTAATTCTTCGTTTAAATGTTCCTTTCAATAACCTACGCTTATATTTATTTATTTATTTAGTCATTTAGCAGACGCTTTTATCCAAAGCGACTTACAAAGGAGGACAATAAAAGCAGTCAAAACTAACAAAACAGCAACAATATATAAGTGCAAATGACAAGTCTCGGTTAGCCTAACACAGTACACGTGGCAAGTTGTATTATATTATATTATTATTCATTTTAGTGTTAGTATTCAGACTGTTCATGACACAGCAAAGATAGTATATTTTATATTTATATTATTAATATTTCTAAATATACAAATAATTTATTATATTATATTATATTATATTATATTAACAGTTAATTAATAACAATCACACAAACGTTTGGAAAAAAATTAAAGGGTTTGAAAATACTTAATAAAGACACTGTATTAACTTGTTGTCAAACTGTAAATTTTCTGGAGACACTTGAATTTTTTAACTTGACCCAGCATGTTAATTTTCCTACCCATAACAAAGGTCACATACTAGATCTGGTGTGTTCTGTTGGCGTTGACATCAAACAGCTTGATAATCATGAGACTTGTATTAGTGACCATAAGCTTCTTACTTTTAATATACCTGTCTCTTCTACAAGATCATCTTCTCAGAAGAGAGTAATTAGGTTTAGGAATGTTAAGAATATTGATCCTGATAGTTTCTCACGTCTGATTTCTGAGCATCCAACAAGTTATACTGTTGATAATTATAATTCCATCCTATCATCTACCTTGGATATCCTTGCTCCTATGAAGGAACATGATGTCTTATTCACGAAATCATCTCCTTGGTATACAAATGAGCTGTTAAAAACAGGCAACTTGAGCGGCAATACAAAAAATCAAGCTTAACGGTTCACAAGCTTATGTATGATGAACATTTAATTCAGTACAGTGAGGCCCTTAGGGTGGCTAGAGCTGAATATTATTCACGTATTATAAGTGATGATGCTGGAAATCCAAACAAGATTTTTAAGACTATTAACAAAATTTTAAAACCAAACAAAACACTCACATGTTCTTCTGTTCAGCAGTGTAATCAATTTCTTAAATTTTTTAAGGATAAAATTGAATCTATTTATAGGTCTTTAAACATTCGAAGTGCTCCTACACTAAGTACTTTTAAGAAACTGTTGAAAACCCACTTTTTTTTAAATGGTCTATTATGATTAAGTTGTATTTACATGTGACATTGTTGTAGCGCTTTGGGTTGAGAAAAGCGCATTATAAATAAAATGTATTATTATTATAATTAATAACACATACATTTACTTTTTGACAGTGTGTATATGTTTAGATCAATGAAAACTGATCAAAACGTATAGATGATGTGAATTTTCAGTAAAATGAAGGAGTTTCTTCCTGTGCTGAATTATTTAAGGCCATAATATTTCCCAGCATGCAGCTGTGCTGGCCGGACTAGGAGTATTGATGTTTTATGACATGCCTTGAATTATCTGTCCCCGAGATGAACCTCATTCTCTCTGTTAGTGATCTCTCGGCCTCTCTCCATTCCCTCGGCTCCTTACAGAGCTGGTGTTGAGAGCGTGTGCCGGACGTGTGTTTTACAGTCACTGACAGTGACACAAGGGACGAGCCGTTAGATGTGTCTCAGAGGTGGCTGGCTGTATGAATTACAAGCATGATGAAATGCAAATACACATGCAAATGTGTGTCCACATCTATAACTTTTCCATATGAGGCACTGGATTCTGCCTAAGAAGAGTGCTGAAGGCAATCAAGATATATTCGTGATTATGTTGTTGGCTATTTAAAATTAAGTCACATTGTGATTAGTATGGAGCCACGCACATGACATGTGGGAAAAAAACAATGCATTCAACGATTAAAGGGGTCATATGATATGCTAAAAATGATGTTGCAGTCGTGTCCTCTTGGAAGACCAAACAAAGTAGTTTCGCTTTTACAACGAAACACACGGCGGGCTAGAGTAAGCGGCGGAGGGCTTGAGAACGGCGCGGCCAGCGGATTCGACGAAGGAGCGTCCGAAGGGCTTGCGGCAACCACATGTGACGACCCTGGGCTGGACTCCGCTTCGTCCACGGTGAAAGCCGATCCGGTGATCCACAGCGCAAAGTTGATGTATTTCCTCAGCAACCAGCACGGATCAGCTCCAGGCATGACGAAGCAGATATCGTCCTCTTTTGGAAGGCCAAACAAAGTAGTTTCGCTTTCACAACGAAACACAGCGTCTTCATGACATGGCGGCAACAACAATACTACAGCGAGAATAAAAGTTACGCCTTCTTTCTTTGCGTGAACATTTGGGCGGCGTTATGCAAATCTTCCCACATAGCGACGTAGACATGTGGGGGCGTGTTAGAATGAGCCGTTTAAGGTAGGCGTGGTT